GCAATCTTGTTCTCTGTGTGGATCACCGTTGGAGGCTGGACAATTAGATAGCTGTGGTGGCGAATCAAGGTTGATGGAACTAAAAGAAAAGCAAAAGGATTGCAGAATTCTTCAAAGGTACAATCCTTATCACAATTTCTATCTAAACACAAAGGCGATTCTTGGTAGGAATCGAAAATTATTTTAAATTCCGCTGTGCATGTATAAGTAGATTCCCAACAGTATCAGATATGTCTCGAGGTAGGCCTATTTACAAAGCTAGGTGAAAACTCTACAATAAGTTCTAGTTAGCTATACTTACTTTTGAGGTAATTGGGAAACAAGGTAGAACAGTCCGAGAAAGAAAAGGAAAAATAATTTCTTTAAGTTCCCAAGTCATTGTACTGTGAGGCTCTTTTGCTGCATTTTGCATTCATTGACAATTACCTAATTTACGATTCTAGACCTAGTTTGTTGATAACTGATTAGATTGTGTTTACTGAAGATTCTTAAGTATTCACAGAACAATTACATAGTGGTGCAAGTTGACGAGATAAGATCAAGATATTTCCACTTGATCTTTTTCAAATCTGCTTTACCCGAACTTGTTCCATCAAATAATTATTGTATATCATTGGCTCACACGATCCATTAGCTTATGGTGCTTCTTATGCATATGATTTGAATGAGAAAAATGGACTGAATGCCACTGGATGATGTATCCCCGTGATTTTCCTAATCTCCACATCGATCTTTTTAGACTTGAAATGTCAGGAAAGAGCCTAACGTCGAATTGAAATGAGTAGACATACATATCATTTTTCATATATAACATGACGGTTTGGGTTTGTCGAGTTTGGTATTACAGAGCTTATTCGACTCCTCACTGTCATCTTGAAAGTGCGATCTTGAGAAATACGGTTATGCTTAGATCTTGAGGGCCTTAATTTTCCATTCATTTGAAAAAAGGAGAAATTCTTCTCCACGTTCCTATTCCTATCTTGAGGGGTTTGGCTTCTCAGGCCATCACCATTTCCCTCTGGAGCTGGGCAGTGTCAATCTCCCTGGAGAAGGTCATCATTTAGAATTTGCTACTCACACAAAATGCTATATGTTCAATGTAGATGCCATTGCTATCTTTTGAAGTTAAACCAATGCTGAGTTTGTTTTCATCTTTCAGTGGGAATATTTTGGGATCATCTATTGCATTTGATACCTTTTATCAAGGGAAATGACATTGTCCGAGAGTCCATCTTTATGTTGATGCTCACTATGGAAATCCTCCGATTTCACTTTTTTCTTTTGGTTTTTACTTTCATATATTAGTATTTATCACATTGTTGGAATTTATTGGCCAGTTCTTTTGTTAATTTAATTAACTCATAAAAATCCGATCTTTAGATAGAAAATGGATGGATATATTGATTTTTGTTTGCTCTAACGACAGGCATTATTCACTTACAAAGAGCTTCTGCATTTGATGTTCCCGTGTGTTGCGCAATTCCTTTTTCTATTGCTTTGTGCTATTCATGTTGATCCCAATGGCGACGCAAGGATTAAAATCAATGACGTTGTATGAAATATGTAATGAGATCACAAAAATGAAAAAAGATTTAAAGTAAAGAAATCAAAGAGAGTTAATCGCAGAGAAACGATGTATATTAACCGACAATATGGAGAGAAATTACAGATACAACAATAATGCTTAAACAAAAACTTACAGAAGAGCTTTGTATTTATTGGTCACGTTTCAATTTCTAGAAGAATCATAAATGTAAGAAAATCTGTTAAAATAAAGTTACAATTGCACATAGAACTTTGACGAGAGAGAATTTCGTTTCCTTATTCAATTTGGATACAATCTTCATTTTCAAGTAAAAATCAAATACGCAATCTCACAAAACCCCCAAATATATTTGAGTCACAAAACCTAACAATTCATGGCAACAATGAATAGGCAGATAATGCATATGATCAAATATAAATATGTTACCCTCACTTTTGGGAAGCAGGTATGTACTTAGTGTTTGTATTATTGATTTAGCCCCCGTTTGAGCAATATTATTGTGAAATGAGAATGAAAAATATAGTCGTTATGGATCTCACGCAAGAAATAAAAAGTCAAATATAGTGATTTGATGTGATGGATAATGATCATATTTTTCATTTTAATGAAAAAATAATAGAGCTCAAACAGGGCCTTAATATTTTAATGCATCTCGCATTACTACTAATAAAGATAAATGCATTA